TTTCCTTGGAAGTAATTTGATTGATGATGTTTTTTGGATACCCATTTTCAAGTAAAATAGTTTTAATTGTCTTCAATTTGAAATTTAGTTTAGATTTTGAACAGATAACTAGAGCCCGATGGACTAAAGTAGCAGTAAGGTTCGTTTTGGGAGTGAAAGAATCCCATCGTGTGTATTGTCCTGTAAAGGTAGGTTTTCTGTATATACTGGTGAGAAAATGAAAGTCATCTTTTTCAACTAAGACATCTAGGAAGGGTAAAGAGTTGTGTTGTTCCTTTTCGAAAGTAAATTTGAGAGTCGAGTGCAATGAGTTTAGGTCTTGTAAGAAACACTCACATTCCTGTTCAGTTTCAAAAATGGCAAATGTGTCATCTACATAGTGGAAGTAAACAGCTGGTCTGGTAACTTTGTTGAATAGTTCTTTTTCATGGAAACCAACAAAAATATTGGCTAAGGCAGGTCCAAGAGGAGAACCCATGGCGACTCCATCAATCTGTTGATACATGATATCATTAAAGCTGAATTCCACCGAACGTATTAATCAGCTCAATAAACAGGTCCTTAGGTATTGGAGGGCACTGAACTTCTTCACCATACAAAGTATCTGCACAAATTTTGATGGTTTCTTCCAGGGGTACATTAGTGAACAGTTTCCAGTTATTTATTCTCGGGTACTTGATACATATAAAAATGTTTTTCTAAACTTTTAAGAAACTCCAAGACATTAAAATCCAACTTGCTGTCAAACTTCTCAACAGGTGTAGGGGTGATGGGTTGACTGTGGTGAAGTAAGTGGATGAATTTTCCACAGGTCTGTAGGTAGAATGGACTCGATGTTTGTGGTTGAGAGGAGAAAGACTTAGGTTCTCTTGCTAGTAGATCAGTCACCATGTGTCTTAGCATTTCTATCTGTTCTGTCAGTACTGACACAGACTGCTTGAAGCTTGCCACATCAAACTCACTAACTTACATAGTAACACAGTTATTTTCAAACACTAGTTAATGTAAATTTAACTGAACTTAAATTATTGCTGAATTATTCACTCTATACCAAATTGAGAAACGAAAAAAATCCAGTCAAAATTTGACCTTTATGAAAGAGGTCCCTGTTAGGGAGCCAATATTATGGTCTAAAATGAACATTCTGCAACAATCAGAGTTCAACAACTAAAAACAATTTATTCACAATAATAATACTCAGAATTAAATTCAACATTTATCAAAACAAAGTTAATAAACAAGTGCCTGGCCAGGACTTTGTGCCAATATTAAATTAAACAATATATTATAAATATTAATAATATCAATATTGTTTCAAATAATGGAATCAGGAAAAAGAACCAAAAATAAAAACCCTATTCCAAAAAAACACAGCAAGTACAATATTCCAAAAATACCTTTCAGTCACAATATCAAGTGGCAAACAGCAATAACTATATCCTTCATTAACTATTTTGTGACTCTTTCTCTCTCTCTTAGTGGGCTCGGCATGGCCAGGTGGTTAGGGTGCTTGACTCAAAATCTGAGGGTCACAGGTTTAAATCCCTGTTCCACCAAATATGCTCACCCTTTCAGCCATGGGGACGTTATAATGTGACGGTCAATCCCTCTATTCATTGGTAAAAAAAGAGTAGCCCAAGAGTTTGCAGTGGGTCGTGATGACTAGCTGCCTTCCTTCTAGTCTTACACTGCTAAATTAGGCTAGCTTTGTGCAAAATTCAAAAACAAACAAACAAACTTTCTTAGTGATGCTTCTGGTAGGGTATTTATTCACAGAGTAAGTCACAAGAGTATGTGTGATGTGTTCCAGGTGTTTTCATCCTCATTGCAGACCACCTTTCCAGTCCTGACTCAAATTCTCCCAAGGTGTGGCCTGTTAATCCTCAAAATTTTGGTGGTTCTGCCTCATGGGGTACTCCTATATGAGAACCATGCAACTCCTTTCTAGATTCCTAGTTACATTTTTTGTTTTTGGTCTCCGGTTCATCATCCACTCGCTTTGGCTGTCAATATTTTTTGACAGAATTACATCCAGTTTGTAAATTTAGTTTTTCTCATTCTGTCAGTCAGTGTTTTTGATCATCCAGGTTACTACAGGTCAGGTCCTTCTAATTGATCCTTCTGGCCAGTACAGATCTGGTCTTCTTGGCTGTTTTGGCTGTTGAATCTTTTTTGGGCCCACACGGAAGATTTTCATATCATTGTGTGCCAAGTTTTGGGTGCTTTCAATCTTTTCACGGATCATCTTTCCTGTCCAGACAAAATCTATCCAATGGAGTGGTCCCTCGATCCTCTTGTTTTCCAGTGGCTTTGCCTTCAGTGGGGTACTTCTCACATAGATGCCTTTGCCACATCCCTCAACCACAAATTACCTCTGTTTTGGTCTCCGGTCCCTTATCATCTTGCTCTGGTTATCAATGTTTTCAGTCAGGATTGGACCAACAAATACCTATAATTTATCCTGTAATTTCACTGCTTAACTTGGTGATTTTGATCATCTATACCACTGTGTATCAAGTCCTTTGATTCCTTCTTACTGACTGGCTAAGCTGTGGTTTCCACAGCTTCTCCAGCTTGAACTTAACTCTCTGCTACCTCTTCCTGTCTCCCTACCTTCTTCATTAACTTCAGTTACAGGTGCTTCAACCAGCTCTTCTTGTCCTCTGTCTTCATGTTTGGTTTTTATCCAGTCTTTTGCAAGGAGATCAGGCTTGTCACGACAAGTAGCTTCATTTCTAACTTCTTCCATGGAAGTTTATCAGCATAAATGGAACATTTTCCACTGTTGGTCTCTGGGCTGAGGGTTTTCAGCTGATCAGCCTACTACTCCTCATATTGTGGATTTTCTTACATGGTTTTTTTGATTGGAAGTCTTCTATCTCCTCGATCATGGGTTATTGGGGGTCCTTGTTCCACACCTTAATTTTTCCTGATACTGTAGTGTATTTACCTTTCCTATGCTATCTCTCTTAAAGCCTATTTTCTCTCCTTCTTACTGGTGATTGTATCTTTGTTTAACATATTACCTAGATTTTATTTCCTGATGACTGCTCACTTCTGTTTACAGTTTTGGCAGCATGGGAGGGAGATCTTGCCTTTTCTCCTATATCTCATCCATCATTCTTGGCCCTCTATGGTTGTACTGACTCTGATTACCTTTTGTGTCCAGTTCAAGTGGTCAGGTATTACTTGACACACATGGCTTCCTTTTGGGGTTCTTGCATTTATTCCTGCCATGTGACCCCTCTTCTTCCAGGGATCTCCTTTCTTCTACTCTTACTGGATGGATTCATCAGTTCATCTGGACCATATATTCTTCTCTGGATGGAGATGCTCATAAGTTGTATCATGTCTCATCACATGAAATCCGCCACTTGACTCGCTCTCTGGCTTCACACTCTTGACAACACCTGGACGAGATCCTCAAGGCTGAAGCATGACATCACCCAACACCTTCATCTCCTGTAATCTCTACCATGTGGTGTTTCATCTCCCTCAGGATATTGCCTTCATGTAGTTGCAATTCTCCACTCTACTCACCATCTTTAACAGGTAACTGCCTCCTTTATTTTGTTAATGTTTTTGCTGTTCTCCCATTCACTTTTTAGAACCCACCCAGTGGCCAGTGTTGCCTCACAGAATATACTTACTTCTCTAAAGCTGCATCATATCAGAGGAAACAGAAAGTGTTAAGACCATCTTGGCTCATAAAGTGCTCCACTGTGGTGGTTTATATATGTTTATGTATGTATGTATAATTTCATTATTCATTCCATGGACTATCATAGAAAAATCCAACATGGGGGGGGGGGGGCTATCTGTTCACTTTCTTGGTTTGCTCATGCTGGCTTGCTGTAACCCATTGCATTAACTGCAGTAAAAGACCATCGAGGTGGTTAGGTCCAATCAGGTCTGAGAATCTCTTCACTGTTTCTCCAGCCCAAATTCTTCCCACCCCATCCCCCTCAGTCTTCCAGTGGAGCATAGGAGACTCTTGTGACTCACAGTTCTTAACCACTGGAGTGGTTGCCTTTGAGAACTCCTCACCAGTTGTGCAATCCCTTTAGAGAGAGTTTGAGTGGATGACATAATGCAGTGGGAAGTAGGGCAGGGGCATCCATGTCAGTGTGGTACAGGTCAATTTCCTGGTGGTTTGGCCAGCTAGATGGAGCAAAGTGTTCTCCTTACAGGACAAGAAAAGACTATAGCCCACATTCCTATATGTAGGGTAACAAAATTGTACAACAGAACACATACCAAACTGTATAATCTGATCATTACTCTAGCTACACTACACCTCATGATCACTCAAGGTGTTATGCACAATTGCTTGATTAATCATATCTATTTCTATCTATCCTTGTAACACAGTGGTTCATTTTGCCTTCTTCCTTTCATACTTCCATCTGGGTAAAGAACATACCCTGCATGAGATAGATGTGGTCTCCCATGAGTGTTACCCTTTTAGTAAGACCCTGCTATATGGGTTTCTCTTCAATCACCTTCTCTGAAGGGAACTCGCCTAGGTCTTTACAATTGTATCAGCCATTTCACCACATCACTGTGGGATTCTAGCTAATGTGTGCAGAGAGGTAAGCATATTGTTTCAGAAATTGACATTTTATATACCTGAAAATGTATTTCTAATATATACCTCTCTTCATACCTACTCACCCTTTTTCTCCATTATCAGTGCACATTATTCTTGCCTCATCTAAGAATGAAGTTAATTTCTAGTATAAGTGCTTATGGGGATCTACTGGTTAAGTGGATGTGTTGCCTCCTATTGGTGGAGGGCTGTTGTTACATGATGATTGCATCATGCACTAGCACAGTTCACGTTATGACATGCACAAAATCTCAAAGGAACAGCTACTGTATGTAGAGAGGCAAGTATCTACAGGAAGATTTTAACTCTCATTCTCTTCATGTTTCTCAAGCAGTTTTAGAAATAATTTGTAGTTGTCCTTGATTTCCATATTATATCACTGTACTTCGATAATTCAACTACAGTTCGTGTTATGTGAAAAAATAACATATATTTGTGCTTTGAAAACACTTGATATTAATTTAGGAGATTCTAGAGATTGTAAAAATGAAATATGAAAACTGTAAGAAATATTTTTATTCTTAGCATGAAAATTACTTTTCTGTACAACATACTATTATGTTTATTAAAAGCTTTCAAAATTTCATAAGGATACATTAAATAAATTCAGAGCTGTAGTATGTAAAGCATCATGATTTTTAAGGTTGTGGAAAGAGGGTTAATGAAGATATAAGTTTCTATAAAGGAGAATTCAGAGTACAGACATGTTTAGCAAAATACAAAATGAAGATTAAAATATTTTTAACTTAATTCCTTTTGATAATTAAGAAATTAATACAAAGATAATATTAAGATTTGAATTATAAAGTACATTTTGTTACTAAGTTTATTGATATAAATTGTTAATAACATTGTTTGATTAAGTTTTGAATGTAACTCTGTAAGAAGTTCTGACATGCACAGTTTTGCCCTGCCATATGGAAACAGTTGATAAAGAAATTTGTAATAGTAGTTAATCTTAAATTTTCGTGATCTCATTTTCCAATAGTATGTTCAGTGTGAGAGCAATGTGAAACACATTTGCTTTCTTTTTTAGATATTCATCATAACTTACAAGATATTTTACCAGATTATCATAATGATTGCTTAATTATCTAAATCTTCAGGTTAATACACTGCATATATTAAGTTCTTTTTACCACATTCTTACAGACTTTTTATTCTTACTCTTTCACACACACACACAGAATTATGTTTTCTTTTAAACATTTCTCAGTGTTATATATCCCTGACCACAAAAACTGGGCTCTCCTCCTAACCGTTATACACTTTTTTGTCATATGGTATGTAACTTTTTGATCTATGAACAGCTTTTCTTTTGTTATTCACACTAGTCTCTGTTAATAATCAGTCACTCCTTTTCCTTGTGTGGATTGTAATGTTGGTATTCTATCTAAATAGGTATATGTAATGGTAAGTCAAGATACTTTAATTTCTAAAATACACAAGTTGAAGAACACATTGTTTTGTAGGTAACTAATGAATGTTTTCTAATCATTAAAATAAATTTGTGTTTTGGTTTAACTTTTTTTTTTGTAACAATTAAGTATACAGAGCCAGCTTTTGTCAGACCTTTGCTGAGATGAAGGCTCCAACTGGTGAATGGAAATCTGTACTTGCAGGTACTCTTGTGGCAATGTCTCTAACTATATGGATTTATGTCTGGATGAAAAAGTTTGGTAAGATTTAATAGCATTAAGTTGATAAACATTAACCCTTTCGATATGGGTCACAGGTGAAAGGCCATGTCATCTTGTTTGTTGACTCGCATTCAAACTTTTATTGAACTATTTCTTGAATTTATGTCAGTAAGTTTGGTACCAAACTGTAGATTATAATTCAAATTTTAGAACTATACACTACTCAGTTTGTTAAATTAAAAGTAAGTATTTAAAAATCACGGATAAACATCGATTTTTGTGTATCACTTGGTATGTTGAATGCAGCACTGGTTCAAATTAGATGTTTGTGAAGTCAAAATACTAAGTCTGTAGTTTCATACAAATTAGAAACTCAAATTAAAGTTATTGACAAGCTAGAATATAAAATGATAAGGTCTTATCTTTTCTATTTGCTAAGATATTGCTCATGTAATAAATCAAACACAGTGACACCCTGCTCTACCTCTTTCCTAG